GGTAAACTTATCCTTTAGTCCTCATGCGTACTGGACACTTTTACAGCTGCTGTTTTTGGCTTTTGGCGAGGTGTTGTTGTTTTTTTTTTTTTTTTTTTTTTTTTTTTTTTTTTTTTTTTTTTTTTTTTCTACAGCCAGTAAACTCTATAGCACAGGGCTTAAAAATTCAAGTCCAGAGCTACTAGCCAGGCCTTAAGAGTTACTCGCCACCAACAAAACACACACAAACGGACACCTGTGTACACACACACACAGACATGTACACACACGCACAGAGACACATATACATACACATACAGACACATGTATACACACACAGGCACATACAGACATGCATACACACAGATACATGTACATACACAGAAATACACACGCACAGACACCTGTGTACACACACACAGACACATGTACATACATACACAGACACATGTACATCATTGGTGTCCGTGTGTGTGGTGGAGGAAAAGTGTCAGTGGGGGAGGGGGGGATAGTGCCCCATCATTGGTGTCGGGGGGGGGGGGGGGGGGGGGAGGAATAGTACCCCATCGTTGGTGTCGGGGGGGGGGGAGGAAAAGTGCACTATTCCTCCCCCCACTGAGACCAACGATGGGGCACTATTCCTCCCCCCACTGACACCAACGATGGGGCACTATTCCCCCCCCCCCAACTGACCCCAATTATGGGTCACTATTCCCCCCCCCCCCCCCCCCGACACCAATGATGGGTCACTATTCCCCCCCCCCCCCGACACCAATGATGGGTCACTATTCCCCCCCCCCGACACCAACGATGGGGCACTATTCCCCCCCCCCCAACTGACCCCCATTATGGGTCACTATTCCCCCCCCCCCCCGACACCAATAATGGGGCACGATTTCCCCCCCACTGTCACCAACGTTGGGGCACTATTCCTCCCCCCACTGACACCATCGGGGGAGGAATAGTGCCCCAATGTTGGTGACAGTGGGGGGGAAATCGTGCCCCATTATTGGTGTTAGTGGGAGGAATAGTGCCCCATCATTGGTATCAGTGACACCAATGATGGGGCACTATTCCTCCCACTGACACCAATGATACTTACCTTGCTGACCCCTGCTCCAGCCTGGGCATGATCCCTCCCTCTCACATCCACAGCCAGCATACCTGGCTGCAGCAGCAGCACCATCTGCACAGCACAGACACTTACCGGTCAGCTCTCTTCCTTCTCCTCTTCACTTGCGCCGGCTGATCCCTCACTTTGATTTTCGTTCTGCTGCTCGGCTCCTCCTCTTCAAGCTCTGCCTCCTTTCCTGAGGAGACGGAGCTTGCAGAGGGAGGGACAAGCTGCCATAGGCTGTTGAGTGATCCCTAGGGTGTGGCAAGATGAGAGGGGCGGCATGTCATCCCGCCCACACATCACGATCCAGGGAAATGAAGACTCCGGATCCACTGACAACCTCCCTTCCCCTCCTCCAGCAGCACCTCGTGGACCGGATCGACGTGGGACTGGGACATGGAGTCACGGACCCAGGTAAGACACCGCAGCTCACCCCTGTACTAAGTGTCCCTTCTGTGGGAAAGAGGGGGGGACAGCGTTGCCGCTGCGCCACCTCCCTAAAAAGTGCCGCCCAAGGCAAATGCCTTGTTTGCCTCATGGCAAATATGCCCCTGGGGGACACACTCACCTCCACCATAATTTCCACTCGCCAAATTTCAAGGCCTGCTATAGCATGTTACTATGTATCCATGCACACATAGAATATAACCAGCATTTTTTGACTGGAAAAAAAATCCAGCATTTTTTGACCGGAAAAAAAAAATCAGAACTAGTAGGTTTCTAGAGAAGTTTTTTATCTAAAAATGCTCTAACGCTGAAAAAAGGCGGCTAAACTCTAATGCAAAAATGCTGAAAAAGTCATGTTTTTTGTTTTTTTTTTAAAGTCACTCAAGTGACTTTACACAGCTAATGTTACCAGTGTCATTAAAACGTCCAGTGTGCATGGAGCCTTGATGATCAATAAGCTCTTCATGTTGGAAGCAGTTCTACATGTATATATCGGTTGTATCATTAGTAAACACTGATATATAGTCAGCCATGTGCAGGGTGACATTTTGTGAGTGATTTGAGCCAGAAAGCACAGCAAAGAATGTCCCTTTCAGACATACGTGCGATGTGGTAACACATGGTAAAATGCAATGCATATAAGTATCCAAAACTAAAAAAAAAAAGTTTTGCCTTTAATTATAGAGTAAAGATGGATTAAAATACCTGTCAGACTTTTATTGATGTCTGTGCCCCTATTAGGGAGATTCACCCTCCCTATTTGTCCTGTTTTACCATTATTATTTAAAGTAAATGAAAGTCGCAATTGTTGTGTTGTCCCCAGAAAAGTAATAGAGGAGAATGGAGTTCTGATGACATGGGTCCCCAAAGGATTCCTTTTAATTTGTAGAGATTTCCACTTAAATCCTGTTCTGGTTACGGGACTGAAAGTGAAGGTAAATCTCTCCAATGGGACACAGATGGCCAAAAAATTGACAGGGGTTATTTAACGGAACCGGACCCCAGACCACAATCGGGTACTTCCGTTATATTCCAGCTTCCCTGTCAGAACACAAATCCCCGGACACCACCCGCTGATCATGCAGGAAAGTAAGACCGCACCAGACTCTTCTTAAGACAGGAAGTCAACAGCTTTATTTTTACACAAAACACAAGATATATACACAGGGCGGGAAAACACAACCAGGAACAGGAAACACATCATCAGCCCGCCCCATCAGTGGGAAGGGCTACAGGAAACACATCAGCCTGCCCCCCATGAGTGGGAAGGGCTACAGGAAACACCCCCCCCCCCCCCCAACCAAGACACAGAACAATGGGCTGCAGCACATGGCAGAGGACAATAGACAGCCACTTGGCAGAGAACAAAGGACAACACACCAATACACAATATACATTCCCATTCCATTCACACCTTGTACTCCTTAACAGGCACAGGGTGAGTTAAACATAAGAATTTGGGAAGATGATACACGGGTCCCCCCACCCCCCAAAAGTCACTCCCGTCACAGGTTATAACTAGGGTTGCCACCTCAACGGACCACAAAAGCTTGCTGTTATGGCTGAATACTGGGCAAAACCTCTGGGACTTTCTGACCCTTCCTGCTGAAACTTGGCCACCGTTTCCAACCTCCTGCTCATTTCTACTGGGCAGTAAATTTGCTCATCATAGTGATGATGATGGTGTCAGTGGGAATGATGGGACACTATTCCTCCCACTGACACCAACGATGGGGCACTATTCCTCCCCCAAATGACACCAACGATGGGGCACTATTCCTCCCCCAAATGACACCAACGATGGGGCACTATTCCTCCCCCACTGACACCAAGGATGGGGCACTATTCCTCCCCCCACTGACACCAAGGATGGGGCACGATTCCTCCCCCCACTGACACCAAGGATGGGGCACGATTCCTCCCCCCACTGACACCAAGGATGGGGCACGATTCCTCCCCCCACTGACACCAAGGATGGGGCACGATTCCTCCCCCCACTGACACCAAGGATGGGGCACGATTCCTCCCCCCACTGACACCAAGGATGGGGCACGATTCCTCCCCCCACTGACACCAAGGATGGGGCACGATTCCTCCCCCCACTGACACCAAGGATGGGGCACGATTCCTCCCCCCACTGACACCAAGGATGGGGCACGATTCCTCCCCCCACTGACACCAAGGATGGGGCACGATTCCTCCCCCACTGACACCAAGGATGGGGCACTATTCCTCCCCCCACTGACACCAAGGATGGGGCACTATTCCTCCCCCACTGACACCAAGGATGGGGCACTATTCCTCCCCCCACTGACACCAAGGATGGGGCACTATTCCTCCCCCCACTGACACCAAGGATGGGGCACTATTCCTCCCCCCACTGACACCAAGGATGGGGCACTATTCCTCCCCCCACTGACACCAAGGATGGGGCACTATTCCTCCCCCCACTGACACCAAGGATGGGGCACTATTCCTCCCCCCACTGACACCAAGGATGGGGCACTATTCCTCCCCCCACTGACACCAAGGATGGGGCCCTATTCCTCCCCCCACTGACACCAAGGATGGGGCACTATTCCTCCCCCCACTGACACCAAGGATGGGGCACTATTCCTCCCCCACTGACACCAAGGATGGGGCACTATTCCTCCCCCCACTGACACCAAGGATGGGGCACTATTCCTCCCCCCACTGACACCAAGGATGGGGCACTATTCCTCCCCCCACTGACACCAAGGATGGGGCACTATTCCTCCCCCCACTGACACCAAGGATGGGGCACTATTCCTCCCCCCACTGACACCAAGGATGGGGCACTATTCCTCCCCCCACTGACACCAAGGATGGGGCACTATTCCTCCCCCCACTGACACCAAGGATGGGGCACTATTCCTCCCCCCACTGACACCAAGGATGGGGCACTATTCCTCCCCCCACTGACACCAAGGATGGGGCACTATTCCTCCCCCCACTGACACCAAGGATGGGGCACTATTCCTCCCCCCACTGACACCAAGGATGGGGCACTATTCCTCCCCCCACTGACACCAAGGATGGGGCACTATTCCTCCCCCCTGACACCAAGGATGGGGCACTATTCCTCCCCCCACTGACACCAAGGATGGGGCACTATTCCTCCCCCCACTGACACCAAGGATGGGGCACTATTCCCCCCCCCACTGACACCAAGGATGGGGCCACTATTCCTCCCCCCACTGACACCAAGGATGGGGCACTATTCCTCCCCCCCCACTGACACCAAGGATGGGGCACTATTCCTCCCCCACTGACACCAAGGATGGGGCACTATTCCTCCCCCCACTGACACAAACCAAGGATGGGGCACTATTCCTCCCCCCCCCACTGACACCAAGGATGGGGCACTATTCCTCCCCCCACTGACACCAAGGATGGGGCACTATTCCTCCCCCCCACTGACACCAAGGATGGGGCACTATTCCTCCCCCCCACTGACACCAAGGATGGGGCACTATTCCTCCCCCCACTGACACCAAGGATGGGGCACTATTCCTCCCCCCACTGGACACCAAGGATGGGGCACTATTCCTCCCCCCACTGACACCAAGGATGGGGCACTATTCCTCCCCCCACTGACACCAAGGATGGGGCACTATTCCTCCCCCCACTGACACCAAGGATGGGGCACTATTCCTCCCCCCCCCTACTGACACCAAGGATGGGGCACTATTCCTCCCCCCACTGACACTGACACCAAGGATGGGGCACTATTCCTCCCCCCACTGACACCAAGGATGGGGCACTATTCCTCCCCCCACTGACACCAAGGATGGGGCACTATTCCTCCCCCCCACTGACACCAAGGATGGGGCACTATTCCTCCCCCCACTGACACCAAGGATGGGGGCACTATTCCTCCCCCCACTGACACCAAGGATGGGGCACTATTCCTCCCCCTGACTGACACCAAGGATGGGGCACTATTCCTCCCCCCACTGACACCAAGGATGGGGCACTATTCCTCCCCCCACTGACACCAAGGATGGGGCACTATTCCTCCCCCCACTGACACCAAGGATGGGGCACTATTCCTCCCCCCACTGACACCAAGGATGGGGCACTATTCCTCCCCCCACTGACACCAAGGATGGGGCACTATTCCTCCCCCCACTGACACCAAGGATGGGGCACTATTCCTCCCCCCACTGACACCTATGATGGGGCACTATTCCTCCCCCCACTGACACCTATGATGGGGCACTATTCCTCCCCCCACTGACACCTATGATGGGGCACTATTCCTCCCCCCACTGACACCTATGATGGGGCACTATTCCTCCCCCCACTGACACCTATGATGGGGCACTATTCCTCCCCCCACTGACACCGATGATGGGGCACTATTCCTCCCCCCACTGACACCGATGATGGGGCACTATTCCTCCCACTGATACCGATGATGGGGCACTATTCCTCCCACTGATACCGATGATGGGGCACTATTCCTCCCACTGATACCGATGATGAGGCACTATTCCTCCCACTGACACCGATGATGGGGCACTATTCCTCCCACTGACACCAATGACGGGGCACTATTCCTCCCACTGATACCAATGACGGGGCACTATTCCTCCCACTGATACCAATGACGGGGCACTATTCCTCCTCCCCACTGATACCAATGACGGGGCACTATTCCTCCTCCCACTGACACCAATGACGGGGCACTATTCCTCCCACTGATACCAATGACGGGGCACTATTCCTCCCACTGATACCAATGACGGGGCACTATTCCTCCCACTGATACCAATGATTCAGGCACTATTCCTCCCACTGACACCTATGACGGGGCACTATTCCCCCCACTGACACCAATGACGGGGCACTATTCCTCCTCCCACTGACACCTATGACGGGGCACTATTCCTCCTCCCACTGACACCTATGACGGGGCACTATTCCTCCCACTGATACCGATGACGGGGCACTATTCCTCCCACTGATACCGATGACGGGACACTATTCCTCCCACTGATACCGATGACGAGGCACTATTCCTCCCACTGACACCAATGACGGGACACTATTCCCCCCACTGATACCAATGATGGGACACTATTCCCCCCCACTGATACCAATGATGGGGCACTATTCCCCCCCACTGATACCAATGATGGGGCACTATTCCTCCCACTGACACCAATGATCGGGCACTATTCCTCCCACTGATACCAATGATGGGGCACTATTCCTCCCACTGATACCAATGATGGGGCACTATTCCCCCCCCACTGACACCAATGATGGGGCACTATTCCTCCCACTGATACCAATGACGGGGGCACTATTCCTCCCACTGACACCAATGACGGGGCACTATTCCTACCACTGATACCAATGACGGGGCACTATTCCTACCACTGATACCAATGACGGGGCACTATTCCTCCCACTGACACCAATGACGGGGCACTATTCCTCCCACTGACACCAATGACGGGGCACTATTCCTCCCACTGACACCAATGACGGGGCACTATTCCTCCCACTGACACCAATGACGGGGCACTATTCCTCCCACTGACACCAATGACGGGGCACTATTCCTCCCACTGACACCAATGACGGGGGCACTATTCCTCCCACTGACACCAATGACGGGGGCACTATTCCTCCCACTGACACCAATGACGGGGGCACTATTCCTCCCACTGACACCAATGACGGGGCACTATTCCTCCCACTGATACCAATGATGGGGCACTATTCCTCCCAATGACACCAATGACGTGGCACTATTCCTCCTACTGCAAAATTACAGTTATGAAGTAGCAACGAAAATAATTTTATGGTTGGGGGTCACCACAACATGAGGAACTGTATTAAGGGGTCGCGGCGCTAGAAAGGTTGAGAACCACTGATCTACATCATGGGTGTCAAACTGGCGGCCCTCCAGCTGTTGCAAACTACAAGTCCCATCATGCCTCTGCCTTTGGGAGTCATGCTTGTAACTGTCAATCTTCATGGGATTTGTAGTTTGGCAACAGCTGGAGGTCCACCAGTTTGACATGGGAATGTAGGGGGGCAGGTGGAAACTGGAACACATGGCCAAGAAAGGTGATGGTGCTGAGATCATCATCCCCAAGTGGCTTCTGTGTCTAGTTAGTCACTGCCCTGAAACAAGCAGGACAGAAGTTTAGACATCATTTGTGTATGTCTGTCTTAGGTCAATAGTGAAGCAAGAATAAGGATGACAGCCCTGGAGCTAGCACCTTTTTATAATCAAATCAGCCATAGCTGATCCACCATTCCTTTCCTCACAGGCCAGTGCTCTGTTTTTCTTTCCGTTCTGTTTAATTTACACATCTATTATGCAGAGCGATAACACAGGGGATTGCCTAGGGATACAATGTATTTTATTTACGCTTGTAAGTTGATTATATGTTTCGGCATCTCTGTGCTGGTGTGCTGTCTTAGTTGCTGTTTGCTTGAATAACACTGCTCCTGTCTGACATCTGTTGTCCAGACCAACAAATACTGCTGACTCAGGCTGGTTCATTTCAAGACTTCCTTTTTACAGTTTCCTGATGTTCCTGAGCTGATCATCTGACTTTTATGTCTCATTGAGCTTCTTTTGCCTGTTCATCCAGAACATACGGATTGAGAAGGTGATTGTCTTATAAACATCTTTTACTTTGGAAGTTTGTGTTTTATATGGTATTCCGAGAGACTACTGAATGAATTACAATATTCTATAAATACATAACTGTTATTAGCCATTTAAATCATTTAACGATAGTCACTATCACCATTCATGGTCGGTAACTTAGCTAAAAAAAAAATACGATGTTTAACGATGTTGCTTTAATATTAACTAAATTCACAGTTACAATTAGGAAATGGTTAAAATGGACCGTGCATAGGAATTGGGGGAACTGCTATTCTGCAGCCAATTCTATGTTTAAAAGCTCTACATAAAAACACAGAAAAGTGTTGAGGGATCCAAGGAAACTTGAGGATCCTAAATCTAAGATCCTAGAACTGAGTGAGGTGTCCCTGGTCTTGCAGCCTCCATGTCACATCTCCCAGGAGGTTGTAGGACTAGGCACACAGAGCAGCCAGAGGGAGAATGTGGCATGTTATTGGCAGCCAGCTGTCTGCACCCAGAAGAGGCAGCTTGCTAAAGGGGACAAAGATGGGAGTTGCTGTGCAGATTTATTTCAGGTACTTATATAGCGCCGTCCATTTACGCAGCACTTTACATATATATTGTACATTCACATCAGTCCCTAACCCTCAAGGGGCATACAATCTAATGTCCTTAACTCACATTCATACATACACAAGGGCGGACTGACCATTTGGAAACTCGGGCACTGCCCGGGGTCAGTAGGGGGCCCATGAGATGCCCCTGGTACCTTTTTCATAGGCTTTTTTGAGTTTGGGCAAGGACACGGGCCCCATGATCCCCTATTGCCCGGGGGCCCCATGAGTTGTCAGTTCGCCCCTGTACATACACATACTAGGGACAATTTAGACAGGAGCCAATCAACCTACCAGCATGTCTTTTGAGTGTGGGAGGAAACTGGAGTAAACCCACGCAGGCACAGGGAGAAAATGCAAACTCCAGGCAGGTGGTGCCGTGGCTGGGATTCGAACCAATGACCCTAGTACTGCCAGGCGGAAGTGCTAATCACTTAGCCACTGTGCAGATAAATTTGTTTTTTTTTTTTTTTTTTTTTTTTTCCCCCCCCCCTTACCTGTATTATTGGGCTACGTTCTGCTTTAAGTTAACTCTGCCAAAAATGTTTTGATTGTTACCCTATGTTACTTTTTTACAGCTTTCCTGAGACAGTTGACTTTTATGCCGGACATTAACTTTCAGTGCTATAATGTTTAACTGATTTTAGGTATATATTGACTATCAAAACTAGTTGAAATATCATCTGTTAGTGCACTGTTCTGCCTTGGCGTTTTTTTTTTTTTTTTAGGTACCAGTTTATATTCTGTTATCTTTCAGAGCATATGTGGGAGAAAGTTTCAGCTGTCATGGTTGATTATGTGAAAAAAAATATGATGGGCTTTACCTTCTGCTCCAGCAGAACACAATGTTATAGATTCTATCACTGGCGATAAAGAAGCTATTAAATGGTAAAGGTGGACATTGATAATAGAGGGTAGTCAGACAGGCAGGCAGGCACTCTCCCACCACTCTCTGGCATCCTATGGACTCAGGTGATGGTGTGTGCTTATTCTATGGAGTAGAGCAGACAAGGTGCACTGCAAACCTCTCTGTGTTGAATTACCTAGCTGATGGTAGTGCATTCAAGAAATGGTACATGCATCATTTTTGGTGCAAACTGGTGATGCTATGTAAATCCTGTTTAATAAATAATAATATATATATAGTGCATCCAGAAAGTATTCACAGCGCTTTTGCCACATTTTATGTTACAGCCTTATTCCAAAATGGATCCAATTCATTTTTTTCCCTCAACATTCTACAAACAATACCTCATAATGACAACGTGAAAAAAGTTCATTTTGAAATCTTTTTAATTTATTAAAAATAAAAATAAAAAAAACGAAAAAAAAAAACACATATACATAAGTATTCACAGACTTTGCCATGACACTCCAAATTGAGCTCTGGTGCATCCTGTTCCCACTGATCATCCTTGAGATGTTTCCATAACTTGATTGTCCACCTGTGGGAAATTCAGTTGATTGGACATGATTAGGAAGGTCTGTTTACTTCTGTTATTCCATAGAGGTGAATGGAAGGGCCTATTGTGTCCCGCTGAAAAACTGACAAACCTGGCAAACTCAAGTGGACCGATCGTGTGAAAGGGGCCTTAATGAAAACACAATGGCTGCATTAATGGTTTGTTTTGTTTTGTTTTGCAAGAAT